AAATATGCAAAAGCCCGCCAAATCTACAAGGCCGTTATGATTCAAATTCAAACAACACAGAGTCCTCCAGAAGAGGGGCTTGTCCGCCACAATTAAAACAGAGAAAAGTCTGCCAGAATTTGAAAGGGGCTTATCACACAACACTCACACACTGACAGTGGGGGTTACAGAAGCAAAAAGGGTTGGTTAGCTTATTTAACACAACCACTTGGGCTTTCCAGGGTTTCCAAGAATTACTAAGTTTTAGGGGAGAGGTCACAGCACACAGTTTCAGCATACTTAATATATGAGGTTATAGTTTCATTACATTTCACATAATTCATCACACTTAATATATAAGGCTTCATACAGGTTCCACACAATTCATCACCTCTTACACTACTCTTGACCCACACGTTTAATAAATTCATAATTAATTAGACTCAACTTGCTGGTGTAACTTCTTCTCGCTTATTCAGTCATAACAATAGATGCACAGAAGTTAGATTGGAAAATACAGTTTATTTGGAAAGTAATTCCAGCACTTTGGGAGGTGGAGTCAAGAGGACTGCCTGAGCACAGGGGTTTGAGACCAACACGGGCAACTTGGGAAGATCTCATTTCTACACTAAATCTGGTTCCAGCTACTTGTAATGCTGAGGCAGAAGAATTGCCTGAGCCTAGAAGGTCGAGGCTGTGGTGGCTGTGAGCGTGCCACTGCACTCCAACATGGGCAACAGAGTGAGTCTTCTACTTTAAAAAAAAAAAAGTCAATTAGAGAGAGAGTCACTTCCCCAAGGTAGTGGAGAGGGCCAAAGCTAAGAAACACACATAGCAGTGGTAGCTCAGACAACCACCCGAACACACCAGAGTTTAGCAAAGCAATGGTGGCTGGCTGCTGGAGGTTGGTTGAATGCTTTGAAACACTCCCCTTGATGGGAGAAGTTCATTAAAGTGAATGGGTGGTGGTCTACTCCATGTCATCACAAAGGGACAGGTAAGTGCAGGTATTGACATCAGTTGATGAACAGCAGGCAGATAGGTGGGTTAATCACAAGCTTGCTGCCATGGTGATGGGGTCTGCCTGTGTCAAGAAGGTAAGGAAGGGCTGATTATGCTAACCTGGTCTTATGGGTGGAGGCAAATAGAAAAGTTAATTAGTAAGACATGCTAGGGAGGGGGGTTGTAACCATTTATCAATAACTCCCTCTGAGAAATCGGTTCTGTCCTGGGCTAGTGATTAGAGCATAAGTTAAGAGAACTGGTAGAAAAATATGAGATTTATGCATATGGCTGTTTATTGGGCTGTGAAAGGGGGCTTAAAAAGACATCTACAATGTGAAAAATTAAACTAAACATGTACTCAGCCTTTTGCACAGTTAAAAAAATTCCCTTCCTGGAAACTGGCAACAGCACTTGCTGGCTAGATTAAACTGTTTAACAGCTTTTTTCCCGCTTCTGTGAACCACGATTGCATTGCTTGAAAGGTACCTAGACCTCCAGGATGTTGAGGTTTGGCCCACTTGGAAAGTCCCAGTGTGGTTAAACCCCACTTAAGCAAGCCCCTACAGCTAATGAGAGCCCCTTGTTGTGGGACTGTCATGTCCAACAGGCAGGTGGCTGCCAGCCCAGCTCTTGACTAAATAAAACCTCTTCTTTTTATAACTTGTACTTTTGGTGTTGGTGTCTGTGAATTAAGCACTCAGTCCCTATTTCAGGGCATATTTTGCTGGTATTATGAATAGTATCTTTTCTCATTGTTGCTATTTTCTTTTCTTTTTTTTTTTTTTGAGTTGGAGTCTCACTCTGTCGCCCAGACTGGAGTGCAGTGGCCGAGCCTGGCCACCGCAGCCTTGACCCGCTGGGCTCCGGCAATCCTTCAGCCTCAGCCTTCCATGTAGACTGAATTACAGGCATGCGCTACCACACCCGGCTGATTTTTTGATTTAGTGTAGAGATGAGTTCTTGCTGCCCAGGCAGGTCTCGAACCCGCGGGCTCAGGCAATCCACTCACCTCGGACTCCCAAAGGCATGGGATTACAGGCTGAGCCACCCAGCCGGGCTGTTGCTATTTTCTAATTGATTACTGACAACATGTAAAAAGAACAGAACTTCTTTATTCAAATTCCGTCTTCACTTATTATGATTTTGGACAACTTTACTCAACTTTTCTGAGCCTTTGTTTTCTCTTTTACAACGTAGGTACAATAAAGCCACGAATGCAGTTGGGAATAAAAGGGGACGACGCATCCAATAAACCGCAGATTTTATAAAACCAGGGCAGGGTCTGGGTAGTTTGAGAGACTCCTTCATGATCAGGAATTACGCTACGGGCCAGCCTATGTTGCCTGCGGGAGACTGCAAGTTAAAACGAAATTAATTTCTATGAATATTCAAGGCAAATACGCAACCACCGTGAGGAAAAAAAAAAAAGAGAGAGATTTCTTCTGTGAGAGCTTTGGGAGGTCCAGGTGGGCGCCATTCTGTGATTTATTTATTTATTTATTTGGATTTATTTTTTATTTATTTATTTGGTGGACTGAACCGCGGGCTGGGCGCTTCCCGGCGCTGAGAGCCCGCCCCGTGGATGCATTTTTTTTGCACAAACCGTGTCGGCCCGGCCGGCCCCGCATATCTCACGTGTACCTAATCAGAGACACAATAAATTCTATCTCACACCCCTTGTCCCGCATTCTGTGATTTAAATTTGACTCCCCACCTCGTCAGTGGGCACCACCTGTCCCAAACAGTTTGGAGTAGAGCATTCTGGTCTTTGTAGGTTGCCCTAGACGACTCATGTAGGCTCAGGCGACTACACTTCCCAGGAGCCTCCCCTGACTTCCGCTATTGCCGCGGTCCCCGGGGCCAATCGGGAGGCTGGGATTGCGTTCCCGCGCTCCGATTGGTGAATTGGACTACCGGGCCTGGGTTCATATTTTCACCGTCCGAGTCCCGCGGTCTTGGTGCGGGAGTCCTTTGAGATTCGAGGCGAGGTGAGCCGTGGAAAGGAAAAGAGGCTCACCTGGGGCGCGTTCCCTGTTCTGGAACGGCCGGAGTTCGCTTCGCAGCCCTAACGCCTTCCGCACCTCCAGGCCACCCTTTGAGGCGGTTGCAGTGCCGGGCCGCCGCCCAGGCGGGGCGAGTGGGAGCGCGGTCTCCCCTTCGGTCTCCCCTTCTCGGTGACAGGATTTTGCCGCGAATAGGTCCTCACCAGGAGTTGCGGGAGGCCGTCGCTGATAACGGTAACGGTTATCGTTGTTACCATGCTAACTTTTTTTTTTTTT